GTACATACTAAAACAGAATTTTTTTTCCCTTCAGAAGCACACTTTTATTGGTGAGCACACTGACAGACTTATTAATAAATCAACTAAATCCTATGATTAAGCAACTAAAATGTCTATTTGAGATCATACCTAGGGTATATAATAAATCTCTGCCACATTCTTATTCCGCTCTAGATGAGGTGAAAAAATGAGAGTTTTTGTGTGCTTTATGTTGAATTATTTCCTATAACCCCAAAGCCCGCATGACAATTTTTGATAGTGTATTTTATTAAGTTGGCCCTGGATTTTTTTCTGTAACCAGACATTCTTTCTATTCATCTATTTATCCTATGATAAAGGAATGTAAATAGGAAAAATAGAATTATAAGCAAGTGCACCTATATCAATATTTTCTGACATGCAGAAACATTAAACTGCAGGAAAATAATAACTGAGGGCAGCCCCTTTTCAATGGACTATCCTAGCCATATATCTTATGTGACAGACAATTGCAGTCTCTGTGCCTTAATTCTGGGATCACTCTCTCTTCCCGTTCCCTCCCCCCACCCCCAATAACAAGATCACCATTTTATATCTATGGAATAATGCAATGTTTATGCTTTAACCAGTCCAAATGTTAAAGATAAGAAAATGTTTATATTCTACATGAAATTTGAATATCAATTAAAAACAAAGTCAGTAGTTTAGAGGCAAAGGAGAGATATACAAAAAGATGAATGGAAAAAAAGTCACATCTCTGAACTTTTAAAATAAGCCTCAGATATGATTTTTTTTTTAAAAAAAAACTTGGCCTAACTCTGACAGAAACATCCATGTATCAAGAGACAATAAGGATGGCAAAAGCCTTGGCATATATTACAAAATGATATATGGCTATAAGAAGGAATGAAAGAAAATTGTTGGGCCAAATTGTTTAATTCGATTTTACTTTGTTTTTAAATTTTATATCTATGTATTTTTACTGTTTGGCTGTTCACCGCCCTGAGTCCTTCGGGAGTAGGGTGGTATATAAATCAAATAAAGTAAAGTAAGTAAAGTAAAATTACTTACAATGTACTGTAACTATTGTGGAATCTATCAAACTTTCATCTGTCAGAGAACATCTGTATTCGCCTGTTGCATTTCTTCTTACATCAGTCAACACATGAAAACTGGAACTTCGAATTGGTCCAGGCTCTCCCTTTAAAAAAAAAGGTTAAACAAAAGTTTGCAATACAGAAAAATAAGATGTTTATGTTTTGTGTATAACTTCTACACAACTTCTAGTTTACTGATGTTTTCAGGTTTTTTATGTTATTGTTCCTTGTTCCAGCCTTCTTGATAAATTTTATGCAAAACTGATGATGTCATAGATACAGTGAACTAATGCATAGAGTTGTCGTGTACAGATTTTAAAAATAAAACTGAATGAAATTTAGAGAAAAACAAAAAATAACTGGGAAGGTAGGAATGGAAAGATGTGAAATTGATTAACGGAATAGTGTGAGAAAGAGACCTTCCTATCTAAACCAAATTGTGGCTTCCCAAATTTAAGAGGTTGTAATATAAATTAAATAAAATACTTACAGGGATGAAAAATAAGAACTCCTGAGGTGGAGGATTACCATTTCCTGAACATTTCAGGGTAATGTTATCACCTTCCTTAATTGTTTTTCTTTGTGAAAGAATCTCAATCTGAACCTTTTCAGTGGGATCTGTAAAGCAACATAAACTGGTTAATAATCTGACTTTCCCAAATACATAAGATAGAGTAAAATAAATCTGTGTCAAGCAAGGGCACTGAAGCTGTATGCATCAAGGATTTGATGCAAAATAGAAATTTTGGGGCTACAAAATTGCCCCAAATGCAAATTTGGATAGCTCAACAGACAGAGCACTGTAATTTAACACCAGCTGTCTGCAATTAAAGTAAGATCGAATCTCACCAGGCTCAAGGTTGACTCAGCCTTCCATCCTTTCTAAGGTAGGTAAATTGAGGACCCAGTTTGTGGGGCAATAAGCTGACTTCATATAAATATATACAAAAGTATGAAGGCTATTGCTTAACGCACTGTAAGCCGCCCTGAGTCTCTGGAGAAGGGCGGCATATAAATCAAATTAAAACAAAAACAAACAGTCCAATATGCAAATATTGGACTTTTAGCTGGGAAATCATGTTTGACAATCTTGATGCAGGGCTTCTACTCTTTTTCTCCAAATGCTCTCAAAATTTATGTCAACACCCCATTTAGTAACTACATCAGCACATAGCAATAGTGCTTAGATTTATCTACCATTCCATAGTGCTTTAGAGCACTCTGAGTGTTTTACAAATGTCAGCATATTGCCTCCAACAATCTGGGTCCTCATTTTACCAACCTCAGGAGGATGTAAGGCTGAATCAACCTGGAGCTGGTCAGGACTGAACTCCTGGCTGTGGGCAGAGCTAGTCTGCAATACTGCATTCTAATCACTGATCACCAGTGCTCATATATGTGAAACACCACTGTAGAAAACGTGTCTCCAAACTTGGCAACTTCAAGATTTGTAGATGTATGTAGATCAGACTGTCAAATACACAGCCCGTGGGCTGGATCCAGCCCATGACAGGCTGTGGAGTTGGCTCAGCCACAGCCACCCAGTTGGCTGCAATGACCAGGTCACGCTCAACCTGGTCCAAGGGCAAACAAATTTCTGATGCGTCCTGTGACAGGATCGAGTTTGACACCCCTGATGTAGATTTTCAATCATCCAAGTCATGGTTGTCCCAAAAGTGTTTTTCAAAAGGCAACTGGACTTCCTAGGTTTTTTTCCTTGAAGACATTTTGTTTCTCATCCAAGAAGCTTCCTCAGTTTTTCAACTTTCAGAATTTCCTAGATAGCATGGCTTGCTGAGGGATTCTGGGAGTTGAAGTTCACAAGTTTTAAAATCGCCAAGTTTGAAAATCTGTACTTGTAGAACCTTACTGTAGTTCAGAATTTTGAAATGAAAGACTTAAATGTGTGCATGTGCTTGTGTGTGCGCGTGCACATGCCTGTGAGTAAGCAGTCACTCCTGGCAACTGCTTATACATGCTCCTGTAGTTTTCTTGACAAAATTTTTAGAAGTGGTTTGTCATTGCCTCCTGCCAAGTGATGGACTAAGATAACCCAACTTGGCTTCATGCCTAAGGCAGAGTTGGTACTCAGAGTCTTCTGATTTCTAACCGTGTGCCTTCACCATTAGATTAAACACACTGAAGCTAAACATATATAAAATAAAAATTATATATATTGAAAAACCATCCTGCAGCGTATTTTGCCTGAAGGTACAGCTTCAAAAAAGAAATCAAATAAATCATGTTATAAATTAATCTCCTCTTTAAAATGTTTGTAAATTCAATAGGTATTTGGGGGCAATTTAATTTTCCTTTAGTCAATTTAGAATGTGTTACATAAATGAACAAAACCTAGAATAGGGTAAATTATACATAGTCTTTTTCTCAGGTTTTGTCAATCATCATGAACATTGCTGAAAATTTTCAGAACTGCAGTTATATATTCACAGAATACCCATTTGGGGAATAGCTACTTGGATGCTTATTATAGTTAGGAGAAAATTCCACTGAATTGTGTAGGTAGTTTTGGCTGTAAGTCAAATATTAGGAAGCACAAGTTACAGCAGATTTCACTCTTGCTTCTTAACTTAAAGGAATAAACACCTTTTCTCAAAAGGGAGGGCAGGTCATGGCAAACAACTGCATGTACATGAATATGTTATGCTTGTCTGATTTTTGGAAATGTATCATTTATGTAAAATCTATGTTAAGAAGTGATTTATATGACAATAAACTTACAGTAAATGTCAGGGACTGCTGATTCTGATCGTATTATCTCTGGTCCAGTTGGTCCAAAATATGTCACTGTGCAAGTGAACTGCGCACCAGTGTCATCCTTTGTAGGTTTATATTTTAGGGAAGATTTGATGGTATAAAGTCCATTGGCTTTATCTGCATCCGTTTGTTCATCTATGACAACAGCTTTTAAAAGAAAAAGCATGATTTACACAAAGTTATTTGTAAATAAAGAGTGCAAATTCTAGTGATTCTATTTAGGACATCCAAGTGGATGTAATACTAAGTTTGTGTATGTCTAATCCTAAATTTATTCATTTAAATGGAATGACCAAATAACAATAATAGTTTTGGAAGGAATCTTGGAGGTCTTCTAGTCCAACCCACGGTTTAAGCAGGAGACCCTCTTGTCACTGATGCACACAAGCAGATTGATACCTTAGGATAGGTTTGCATGCAGTTTAATTTGCCCTCCATATTTCATTTCCATTGTTATTTTTCAAAAATTTACAGTGCCTGGCCTCTTTGATGAGGAAAACAGAAGGAGCTTCACTAATTAAACAAGGCAAGATGACAAGAGATATATGTGGAAGACAGAGACTTTAGTGAACAGAGAAGAAAGTAATAAATTTAAAATACCCCCCCCCCTTCAAACAGAAAACAATGCCTAATATATATTGCAATGGGTCTAAATATGACAGGCTGAATAATTTTGATTTAAAAACTTTTCAGACAATGAGCTGAATTCAAAATTTTCAAATTTGTACCACTAAAATCAGTGAGATCTGTTAAGATTCAATCCTGTTGATTTTATGGGGACAAATTTATTTCAACTTCTATCCTAAACACAGTCAAGTTTGCTTCCAACCCCTGACTTTAGAAAGCAAATAGCAGACTATTAAGCTGCTCACAATACTGAAGTGCTTAATGGAACTTCTATAACACAAGGCAATCAACATCCAAAGACCTATGACTTCCGTGGAAAAAATGATTGATAGGCAGCTTTAGTGATTGGTTTGGTAGCTTTCTAGAGAGATTTGACATGGGTGTAAGTCATAAAAGGTACAGGAGCAGGTGAACTTTGATAGGAGGATAAGGGAGGTGGGTCATCTCCTTGGGATTTGAATGACTTTATGACTTCATCCCAGCAGGCTAAAGTGTCAGTTATTGTCAATTATCAGTGCGAAGATGCCTTCCTAGAGATAAGCTGCTCTTCAGTAGGGCTCCTGGACTCTGGGGAAGCTTCCCTCTTTTTGTAGACAACTTTTACAGAGGTAAGTGAGGGTGAGTATTTGGATTAGATTTAGGGTGGGAGTGAGGGCGAGAGGGTTAGGGTGAGGATGAGGATGAAGGTGAAAGGGTGAGGGATAGGCTGAGACTCAGGGTGAGGCTGAGAGTCAGGGTCAGGGTCAGGGTAGGGGAGATAGGGAGGGGAATGGGTATGGGGAATGGGAGGAAGAGAAGATAAAAGCGGGAGGTGTGGGGAGGATCAGGGAAGACAGAAAGGAAGATGAGGGGAGAAAGAGATGGAATAAGATGGGTAGGAGAGGGGAATGAAGGGGGACAGGACAAAGAGAAGAGGGAAGGGAAGGGAGGAGGATGAAGAAGGGGAAGAAGTGGGGGATGAAGAAGTGGAGTGGACCTGGTAGGAAAGGGGAAGGAAGGTAGACAAGACAGGGAGAGAAGGGAGGGAGGAATTATAATGCCTTTATGACTTCATCAAGGCAGGTTATTACAGGAGCTAAGGGAGAGGGAGGAAGAGGATGGGGGAGGGGAAGAGAGGGGAATAGGGATAAGGAAGAGGAAGAAGTGGAGGAAAAAGAGGTACAGTGGGCCAGGGTGGAGTAGCAGTGGGAGAGGAGTAGGGGAATGGGATAGGGAGGAGAAGGGTGGGTAGGAATGAATGAATGAATGGGGGTGGGGTTGTTTTCATGATGTATCAGAGGTAAGGGAGGTTATCAGAGGCAAGGGAGAGTGAGTGTGAGGGGAATGGATAGGAGAGGGGCAGAGGCAGAGGCAGGAGGGAAGGGAGATAGGTAAGAGGAAGGGAAAGGGGACAAATAGGTAGAAGGGAACAGAGGAGAAGGCAGGGTTGAGGGAGGGTTGGGGGGACTGAGGGAGAACAAGGGCAATGGGGATGTGAAGAGAGATAGGGAGGTGTAAGGGAGTGGGACAGGGATGAGCAGGGGAATGGGGAGAGGAATTTGGAGGAGAGAGGGATGTAGAGAAAGGAAGAGAAGTAGGGGCAAGGGCAGGGGAAACAGAATTAAATTAGAATTAGAATAAAATTTAAGAAATAAATTAGACTAGACTAGACTAGAAGTGAGAGTGAGAGTTAGAATAGAATAAATGTAGAAATGAATTAGAATAGAAAAGAGTAAGAATTAGAATTAGATTAGAATGGGATTAGAATAGAATTAAGAATTAGAATAGTATAGAATAGAATAGATGTAGAAGTGAAACAGATTGGAAGAGAATTGGATTTCAATAGAATTAGAATAATTTTAGAATTAGGAATAGAATTAGAATAGAACTGAATTAAAAGAACAGAAGTACAATTTGAACAGAATTACAATTTGAAGAGAATTAGAGCAGAGTTAGAATAGAAGAATTAGAATTAGAATTTGAATAGAATTTGAATTAGAGTAGAAATATAATATAATTAGAATTAGAAAAGAATTAGAATAGTATAGATTTAGAATATAATTAGAACAGAATTAGAATCTGAATAGAACAGAATTAGATTAAAATAGAATTAGAATAATGGAATTAGAAATATAGAATTATAATAAAATTAGAATATAAAAGAATTAGAGTATAAAACAGAATTAAAATGAAAAGAATAGAATAAGAATTACAATGGAATTAGAATTTGAACAGAATTAGAATAGAATAGAAATAGAATACATCTGTAATAGAATTAGAAAGAATAAAATAGAATCAGAATCAGATTAATGAAAAGAATTAGAATTGGAACTATAAAATAAATAAAAGCATATATAAACAATATATAGTTGCTTCAGGATCAATTTGAGTTTTATACTGCACTTGTTTTTTATACTGGTTTATTTATGAATGCATGATGCAATAATACCGTGTTTCCCCAAAATTAAGACCCTATCTTATATTTTTTTGAACCCTTGGTTCAAAAAAAGCGCTTGGCCTTTTTGTCATGCGCTCAAAACCCTGATTGGGCTTATTATCAGGGGATGTCTTATTTTGGGAGAAACAGGGTAATATGGCTTATTAGATGGTTATCGCAAGAATCTGAAGCTGGTTTGGACGAGAGGAAGTGACTAACCCCAATCAGCCTACTAGGTTTGGGCCTAAGAAGGACTAAAACTTAGGGCTTCTCATACAGCGCTTAACAATTAAATTATGCTGACTCTTAGATAACATTTTTAAAGAACTAACTTTAAATTGTGTCAATAATTATTATTAAAAAATTGTCAAAAATATAACAAAATTCAACCAACATTGTTTACTGTGTTAATTGCAGCATTGTTAACAAGGTTAATGATTTCAATGCTTAAAATAACTTACTTTAAACTGATTGGTGAAGATAAACAAACATGCATGCAGTAACATCTAGATACAAAATCCTACCTTCTTCAGCATGCTGCAAAATAGCTCCATTCTTAAACCATGTTATATTTCCTGCAGGATAACCATCTCTTGTAATACATTCTCCAAGCTAAGAATTCAAATACACAATTTAGTTATGGATTTCAGCTTACTGTGCATATTGCATATTCTTTTGTTCGTAACAGATAGCCTTCACTTAACGAACATTTGTTCAATGATTGTTCAAAGTTGTGATAGTGCTGAACTATTGGTAGACGTATCATGTCCTTGAAATACAACCACTGAGCCCCTCTAAGGCCATGTGATCAAAATTAAAGTCACCACCTGCATTTACAACATAAGGTTGTGCTTCAACTTTACCTCACCCACCTATCTGTTGATCTCTGCCCTGCGTTCTGCTGCTCTTATTGCCAAGGGCAGAGAAAAGGTGGAAAAAGACATCAAATATATATTGGTGGCAGGGTGACAGAGTAAGGGATGATGGGGTGGCAGAAGCAGCAAAGCACAAAATGCTGGGGGTAGAAGAGAGCAGGACATTTGGGGCAGCAAGGCAGTGGAATTCAGGGTGAACAAAAAAGCATAAATGGGTGAGTGCAACAGGCAGGTGTGAGGAGTGGCTTAAAGTGAACATAGAAGGGCAGGAGAAATGGGATCTCCTAGCGTAATGGCTGTGACTAGGACTACTGAAATTGCCACTCCTAAATGATGTGGTCACATCATTTTTCATCTAATGACTACATCACTTGATAATGGAAATTCTGGTCATCAAGTAAGGACTACCGGTATACTTAAAGTTATTATTTTCAACACATCTATAAGTCTTCATTTCATTAAACTTTTAAATAAATTGTTGTATATCTCAGATCTTATATAATAGATAGATCATTATACTGTATATGTATAAATCAAGGGCAGGGATTTGAATTCCAACTTCAATTCACTCTAAGTAGCAATCATTAGAGTTTATGAGAATTTCAACATCTGGAGGACCACATTTTCCTCATCCTCACATACTCTCTATTCATTTTTTATTCCTAGTGTAGCTACTGGAACATAGATATACTATGAAAGAAATATAAGAAATTAAAGAATGTTATATATAAGGATAGATTATTTGAAATAATCAAATAAATGGAGATATCATTGGGCTATAAAGAAAATCCTGCATGAAATTAAAAAATAAAATATATATGTAAGATATCCATTAAATCATAATACACGTAGTCCTTGACTTACAACTACCATTGGGACTGAAATTTTGGCCATAACTGATGCAGTCATTAAGTGATTCATCACGACTAGATCCAATTTTATGTTTACTTTTATTGTAGTTGATAGGCAAATCACCATGGTGGTTAAGCAAATTACATGGTGGTTAAGTAGATCACATAGTCATTAAGCGAGTCCTGCTTCCCCAATTGACTGTGCTTGTTGGAAGCTGGCTGGGTAGGTTGCAAATTTCGACCACAAGAAATTGCAACTACTGTAAATAAGAGCCAGTTACCAAGCACCAAAATTGTGATCATGTGACTATGTTGATAGTGTGACAATTGTAACTTTGAAGATGGGTCATAGGTCACTTTTTCCAAGGCCTCTGAAACTTTGAACTGTTATTAAATGAATGGCCATAAGTTGAGGACTACCTGTTATTATAGCTAGGAAGGGAAGGTGATGATAGTGTACAATTTTCTATGTATAAATCCCACAGATAAAGCTATGGAATCTTTATAAATGTTTGGATTGCAAAATGTAGAAAATAAATCTGCTTGAAATGTTTTCCTAATAAAATATATTTTGAGCATCCTCCTACAGACCAGGGCTACTTTAGATTTAGCAGCAATTTATTTCATATATAGGTTTCAATATGCAGAAAGATGTATTTATATACAATCTGTAAAACGTTTGCCAATTTATGTAGGATGTAGTCTATCTTTAAGCTTTTTTTATTAATTATAAAATAGTTTTTTTATAACTATTCTTATCTGTTTGCTGCCCAATATGCTACATAGCATGGGAGGAGCTAATGATAATAATAATAATGCTTTTCTGTTTAAGTCCTAACATAAGGCTTCCCTTTGACATACTAAATTCATGTAAAAACCAGCAAAATAAGATAGTTGTTAAGTCCTGTGAGGCTGGAAGCTCACGAAACTAGGACAGTGTGGATTTCTGCCCATGGAAGCAATTCTCCCGCTCAACATACAGCTACGGTAGTATAATTGAAGTGGATTGCTCTGTATCTTCCCCATAAAAGGAAGATTCCACAAATCCCTTTTGTGGATTTAAGTGTCTTTTTGCCAGAGTCTCTTTTCTATTCTGTTTTCCAAGACATTGTATAACAAATCAATTTAAAGATATTTAACAGGAAAAAATGTTCACTTACCAGTTTTAGCTCTTCTGTTTCTAGAAATTCTGCTCGATTTACAATTTCAGGCTCTGATGGCTGCTCTGTTTGTTTGGGGTTTTTTTGGTTTTTTTTAGTGAAAGAAAATGGTAAAAACTTGGGTTATATTTCAACTTTCAGATATTTGGGACTGAGTCACATGCAGGGAGTCCTCAATGCATGACTGCCTGGCACCATTCAAAGTTACAACAGCACTGAGAAAATAATTTTACAGTCCTTCCTTGCACTTATTACGATCACAGCATCCCTGAGGCCCAGTAATTGAGATCGAGCGCTTCTCAATGT